ATTAACTAAGAGAACCTGAGGATTACACTGCTAGTGTTCACGGCTTCAAATTCCACTAGAAAAAGAATTTCTGCCACATATGTTAACATCCAATAAACTAAATTAGCCTGTTCTAGGCAATCACTGCCATATCAATTTAGGAATCTCTACATTATACTGTAATTAGCAAGGGCAACTAATCTCTGTCTCAATTTTTGGTCCTCCGGTGAATCTGACCCTGAAAGTCTAATCTACGTGATTATTAGGACAACTGCTCATTCCCCTGCCCCCACTGAAAGAACTGGCTCAAATAAAGACTTTTTTTTAGGCTGTGCTTGGCATCCTGCCTCCTGGCCCTGCTACAGTCTTCATTTACTCCCACTGCTGCTCATACAATTACGGAATTCAAATCTTCATTCCTGTAAAAACTGTTCACAGTTCTTCATATTTCTTGGAAAACTTAGTATTGCATGATGTGATTTACAGCTTCATAATGCAATACTTGTAAGGAGAAGAAATCTAAGAATACAGCTGTACACCAAGTCATGCTGTTCCTAGAGCTAGAGACAAGTGAGAGAGAGTAGGTAAGAGACCTAATAAGATTACCTTGATTTCTTTAAATACGAGGACTCCCCACATTGCAGCAACAAGGCCAGGACCCTAAAGAATAAGATCCATTTGTATGTTACAGCATTTCATTAAAATGTGCCCCCTTCTCATTACCATTCTCAGGGTGGTTGAGTTTTGTCTGGGTAACAAATTTAGGCCTTTCCATTCTGTATAATTACAGCACTCACAGCAAAAGCATAAACATCACTGAAATCTTTATGAAGTAAGACAATAAAATTTTCAAGAAGGGCTAAAGAGGCAATAGGCTTTTTTTCAGAGAAGGCATAATTTATTTCTAAATTACTCTGTGGAGTCTGCACTGGCTGTTATATGTTCTTTTAGTGGGCTCCAAACAATAGGCCTCACTTCAGTCCAAACTACAGTCCACAGTGTTACCCCATTTCAGAGGACTATTCAGGCTTATTGGCAACTACCATGGGTGTTCCTAACATTTCCTTTATTAGCACGACTAACTAGTTGGACAAAGTTTGATTTTATCGCTCAGTATGGTATCAAGAGACAGGAACATAAATGTATTTCCTGTACAGCAGGTATCTGGACAAAGCACAAAGCCAGACAGATAGACAGGTCAGGAAAACCACTGATTATCTGTGATGTTGTCATACAGATTTCCTAGCTAACAGCAAGCAGTGATACACAACAATAATTTCCAGGCACTCCTGGTAATATAGTTTTTCCCCTGTGGGAGCAAGGATCTGAATTCTCATGACTGATGAGAAAATATTATCTGAATATGAAGCGAAAACTGGCTCTGTTAATGCTTCCCATTAGAGCTGCTCTCAGAAACACTTGACAGATGTTTGGACAGTGATCTTCCTCTCTCTTTCTTCAGTACTGCTGATAGGACACAGATTTAGGCCAGCAGGAAAGTGTCTCATGCTGAATGTATTTGTGGGTGCTGTTTCCTAGCAAAATTGCCAACTATTATTTGAATAATAGCTAAGGTGTTATTTCACTTTCTAGATAACGTACACGGCAAAAGGAATGCACTTTAAAAATGAAACAAATTGTTAAAGGGATGTCATGAATGGCTGTCTGAAATTCTCTCTAGGATGAAGTAAAGCAGCAGTTGCGAACCTGTGGTCCAGATAGGCAGTTTCTCATCAGTGCTGTCCTTAAACTTTTCATTTCATCATTTTATATCCTTGCCCTTTAGGCATACTGATAACTGAGTTACTAAAGCTGCTTTCCATTAATCCTTCAATTTCTAATTAGAATGATCCCAAGTCTTTTTTTTCATTGCATACTGCTGGGTTTATTCTGATTTACCGCATCTTGAGGCAAAGCTTAATCCCTATTAACGTTGTTTCATTAGTTTGCTTCCAAAATGCAGCTGTTCAGCAAAACTTTGTTTTTGATATTTATGAACTCTCATTTGCCAGAAGTTATCCGCCTTTGCAGCACTATCTAGTAGACTGGCAAGAGAGTAAAGGCAAAGTTTATTTTTGCCTACTGATGGAATTTATGCAGCTTCTGGAAATTAACAGTGCTTTAAAGGTACAGTATCATAAACAGGAATAAACCAAACAAAACGTGCCAACCTATTTTTCCCTCATTTGCATAAGAACATTATTTTCAGCAATGCATAATCTGTTCTGCGCATTCAAGAACTGTAAAAAGAAAAAAAAATACCTGACTTAACTAAGCAAAATGACTGCTAGAGAAATGAAAATCACAAGTGAAAACATCCAGAACAAAATGTACTTGCTGGGATGAAAGCATAAAATGTTTCTACTTTTAATCACTTTAATTTACTATTTAATATTGATATAGTTTTGTTTACAGAGCTTTGGCTTTTACATAAGCTAAAGACTCACACTTTCAATTTCTCTGGTTTTTTATGCTTGGCATTCACCAAGATGGTGCTTGTCGCAATCATGTATGTTCCTAAAAAACAAAGGCTAGCACAGACAAGCAGAAGAAAAGTCAATGCATACTCTTGATTAAAATGCTCCAGACATTATAATTTCGACTTAATTCCAGAAATGGAGGGGGGAAGGAAACCCTTCACTTTTAATTCTAGTCATAGATTCTATTTTTCATATACTTACTGCAGTAATTATTGGAAAGCTGACCACAGCACTGAGATAGTGATTGGCTATGAACCAACAGCAATTGGCTATTGCCCAAAGCACACCAGACACAAACCCTAGAAAAATAAATCGCAATCAAAAACATGGACAGCAAGGTATGGACAGCAATTTGTGGAACATTTATATTCATAGCATAATACAGAAACTGTATGTATGTATTTTAGTATGTTAATGACTTTAACAAGCTGGCTCTGATAATCTAAACCAAACCTCAAGGGATTAAATCAGCTACTCCAACTGAAGTAGCAAATTAATTAAAATTCGCAAATTTCTGGGCAGTGTGCTCTTCGCTCTGGCACTCAGGTTTTGAAAATCCGATGTATGCAATATCATTTTGTTCTAATTCCAGATTAGAACAAAATTTATCATTGTTTCCTAACCTTAATTAATTAACCTAATAGGAGCGATATTCAAAAGAGACAAAAAGGCATGTGAAGAGACCTGAAAGACAAACTGCAATTCCAACACTTAGCTTGAACTAATCACTTCAAAACAGTCAAGAAACAGTAACTGAAATTAACTGCTGATTTAAAAAGCAGTCATACCTGGCAATATGGCTTGGGGATAAACATTAGGTTTATTTTTCCTGACTACACAGTAGATCAAAAAGTAGACGGTGCTTGTAAGAAATATTCCACTGAAGTGTGCAAAAACGTAATCTAAATCTGAAAGAGAAATCACAAAATTCTATTAATTTAAAGCACCAGTTATAAATTTTAACTATATTTATTTTACTGATAGCATTCACATAGACAAAAACACATAAGGTGCTACTGCCAACAACTCAAATTCGATTGTGATGAGTATATCTGCGAGCCTAACTGTGGATGGATTTGGTCAATCACACATATATTAAACATGAATTATCTGCTGCGTTGACCCTAGGATTTTTATCACAAGCTTTTATGCATTTTTACGAGTTGTTATTTCCAGAACGCTATCAGTCAAACTACTGAATTAATTTATTAAAAACTTAACAAGACCTTCAGGTGAGGCTAAAAAGGAGATCCTCTCCTGGCCATCTGCATTTGTACTCCTGTTTCTTTTCTGTAAGGGCAAGATAAGACCATGTACTATGTAAGCCAAACATGGCACAGTTTTGCTCTTTTTTTTTTTCTTAATCTTGAAGAACATGTCACAATTTTGATCACTATACCAATGAACAATAATAAATCCTTCATGGACTTGGTATTTGCTAAAGAGAATATTTACAATATGGTAAAGCAAAAGCATGTAGCAAGGTGATCTCTATTTCCTTGGAGTTGTAAATCCTCAATAGAAAAGACAGCTACAGCAATGGTGAGATCTGTTTCGTCTAGCTGGGAAATATGGAAGTTGCAGTATTCAAGAGAAATCATATGTGACATAACAAACAATTTCTTAATGGCAACGTTATGCCGTCTCAGCAATATGCTGCTCTTAAACTGCTGCTGGTATTACCTGATAGACTATACACTAAATCTTAAGGAAAATGTTTCTGGGGAAATGTTGTTTGGAAGTGGCAGTTAGGCTTATGTTAAAAGGTTTCCATTTCAAAACGACAAGGTTTTAATTACTTACGTTGTTATTTATCTCTTCTGCTCATCAATTATGATCAAGCTTTTCCTCTTCCTTTATTGGTGTCCTATCAGTCAATTGGTACAGCTTGTGCTCTTGTTTACCTCATGTTCCAGGCATATGAGCTTTGTATTTTGAGAATGCTAGCTATGTTTCAGAAGGCATTAAATACTATGAGTTAAGTACAGTATCCTCTGGGCTGTTTCTCACTGTTATTTTAATGGTGCAATTCACCTCTGAGAAAAAGGGAGTACTAGTACTATGATTACAACATCTAACATAGTGCAGAACTATGGTAAGATGTCATGGTATATTTCCAGGAGTGTCAAAAATTTCACTCTATGCCTTTACAAAAGCAGGAGACCAAAATATAATGATGAAATAAAGTAAAAGTGACCTATTAGCCTTTACCATATTGACTTGCTCCTGCGTATATAGTTTCATTTCTTCTTCCATGGTCCTTGATGTAAAGTACTGGTACAAAACTGGAACCGTAGAGTATTCCAGCCACTACAGCCAGGCTACACCCTCTTTAAAAAGAGCAAAAATCAGAGAAAATAGCCTGGCGTTAACTAGGAAAGCAGACAATACACTTACGACAAGTCCAGTATTGCAGTTAAAGACTGTGTCACACAAAAATTGCTAGTAACGCTATAAAAATAACACATTTTAGCACATTTTTATTTTCTAGTGTAGAAATGATTCAACACAGTAACTTCGTTTTCCTATACTTTGTGGCCAAGTAACGGAGACAATTCCTGTCCCAGAGCCTGCAGTCTAGATTAATGACAAGAGAAATCAACTAAGTAGGATTTCCTAAAAGCAGAGCTAGGAGAAAAGCAGCAAAAATAGTTAACATGGTCCCACTGTCAGCTTCACTGTTCTTTATAACTATTCCCAGGTTCATTGCCTCCATGGTCCCCTTCTCCACCTCCAGATCGTTGTGGTCTTGGCTGTCTGCACTCCCCATGCTGGCCTCTTGCTAGCTGCTGCTCCCACTTTGGAGCACTTCTGCTCTCTCCGTACCATACTGCCATGCCTTCTCCAGATGTGTTCACTTGGAAACCACACCTGGAAGCATGTTATTAGCATAAGCTCCTTCTGTGCTGGAGTGCTGATCAACCAGGCAATAAAAAACAGCTCTGTAATCAGTTGCTATTGCTATTTACTTAGCAGATGATGTACTTTGTAGTAGTAACTAATACTTACTTGACAAGGTAAGGCACACTTAACAGTGCTAAGGAAAAAAAATATCTAAGAGATCGAGCAGCTATTCATATATACATGTGCACACTAGACTTGTACTTTACAAACTGTTAGCGCATAACTGTGCTAGGAAAATCATAGGACACTAATTCAGCTCTTCCTCTGTATTCAACTGCTTTCTCTGGCTACTTGGCCTGCACCAGTAATCAAACTGTTAATAACTTACATGAGTCTTTTTTTTGCTGGAGAAAGTCTGTTCACCCATGAGTCATCAGAGGTATCTTCAGAAACATTAATAGGCTGCAAAACCCCAATAGTTTTCACTCAGGTTTGTTTATTTGTTTTTAAATCTCAAACATTGTATTAAACAGAACAGTTTTGGTCTAAGAAAATAAAATTACAATGGAGGAGAAACAATAGGAATTTACAGAAATACTCTGAAGAAAGGAGAAATATATATTTTTAAATAGCAAAATAATAATGGAATCTACCTACCTCAAAATTTATGAGTTTTGATATGGATTTGGGGTTTACTATACAATAGAGTGCTCACTAGCATTTTTTTAAAATCTGCATGCAAGTAGATCTGACTTTCAAAACTTGTCCTCCCTTAAATTTGATGAACGATTTAATTTATAGATTTTATTTATTATGTGTTCTTCCCTTCTGTTAATATCTCTGGTGTTACTATCAGAACATTAGGACTATTTGCAAACAGGGAAATTAACAATCCTGTCTGCAGCATAAAGAAATTGCAACATTCCTTTATTCTAATCCTGCAACCAGAGTGTCTTCTGTGATTTGCTCTGGTAGACTGGAACCTCCAGTGAGCACTGAGCACAGGTAGAAAACTATCAGGGGCTCTCTGTTCAGGTACCAACTGAGCTTTGATGCATCACTGACCTACAAGAGTGAGGTACAATGGTAATTGGAGCCTAGTGTTCCCCAGCTTTTGTTGCATACTTCGGGCCCCCAAAGGAGCACAGCCAATCTGGCACCCCGCCTTGGCCGCAAACCTGTGCCGCAGCTGATGCTGAGTATCAGCGGCTCTTCACAGTCTCCTGGCTCTGTAATGTGGCAAAAATTGGGTGGATAAGAGCTATACACCCCGTTGCCTTTCATCTACGCACCCTCCCAGTTTTACAGCTAGGTTTTAATTCAAATTGCTGCTTCTTCTCAGATAGGAAAAGTAATACACTCTTTTATATAACCTCTGTCATAATGAAAAAGGACTTCTAAGTTGTTTAAAGCTGACGACAGAGAAAGAACACTTGGAAAAACCTTTTCTGTTGCTCACATTCAACTGGATATACAAGATCCACAAATTAAATACAATAGACGCATATTAATGCAGTTTTATGTAGTCTACCACACATCCTAGCAAATCCAGTTAACATTAAGCAAATTTTTTGTTTTTAAATGGATATGTACTTTCACTGCTGTAAAATAACAACTATAGAGTACTTACACTTTCTCTCAGTAAAGGTGTACTTTCTAATGAAGCTGAAGAACTCTGGACTTCAGTTTTTATAAAAAGAAATATGACAGCACTCAGAAGAGAAAAATACACCAATAAATACCATGTCAGCTCAGAAGGACATTACGTTTAGCATCCAGAGACAAAAGTTGTATTTGGAGGCACATTATTTTCATTATTGCCCTAGAGTCACTTCAATATATTTAAAAAATGCAAGTGCTTTTAATAGTCCTAACAAACAACTTAAGTGAAAGCAAGTAAATAAATTAGTCTTTGTATCGCTTTATAGATCTCTCTTCTATGTAGTGGGATTGAAATGTCTCGTTTTTACCGTGTGTAGTTACAACCGCACGCTACAACAGTTGCTTTAGTTCACAGTGCCCGTTTGTACTAAACCACACATACAATGGAACATCTGTATGAAAATTCTGTATGGAACAACTTAAACCTGCACAGAATTGGCTCTGTGCTCAAGGAAAAATGTTAGGTTTTAGTCTTCTATCATAAGTGAGTGAAGGAATACTGCTCCTACAGGGCCTCACACATATGTGGGAGAAGGGTATTGCTCAGTGGTGCTCCAGTGCATTAAGTGAATAAAATAAAGAAGAAAGGATAACATTACTATTTGTACCCCCAGCTCCAGTAAATCAGGTAAATACATGTAATCAGAACTGGCAGGATCTGTTTTTTATTTTAATGCAAGATATTTCAATGATTTAGGAGTTCCTTCTCATAGCTGTAAAACTGAAGAATGATTCACCTCCTGCCGAAGGAATAAGGATAGATATAAAAGGATGGCAGCTTCCTCCAGAGAGACTAGGCAAACATGCACAGGTTCCACACAGGAGACTAAAATTAAATACATGCTTCTGAGCTCTGCAGAGCGACATACACAGGCTTTGTGCAGCTTGCCAGGAAAACATGTTTGGTCAGGATCTTTTTCCCTGTTGATCACTTCTCTGTGACATCTCAGAAACCAGCAGGAAGCAGGTGGTGAGCTGAATGAATTAACCAGGCAGCACTGCTACTATTCATGAGTACCTCAAAATCATGTGCTACATGTAAGAGCAGTGGGTAAAAAGCTGCAGAATCTCAGGAAAGCAGAAAAGTGGAAGCAAAATTCATGAATCTAAGGCAGCAGCTCTCTCCTAGCAATCAAGAATGGCTCTATCATCTCCATGTTCTTAACACCCTTCTGTCCTAAAGGCATTACGTGCATCTGCTGTTTAGCACTCTTCTGGCAAACCTACTGCCCCTGGGATTTAGGGCCACTGTTATGTTCCTAGAAGGACCTTCCTGGCCACCCAGTGGGAACGCAAGAACACTCCTATGTAGCTAAAGACCTCTGTGTTTGGACCAAACTGTGCACTCATAAACAAGTAAACAAAAAATAAGAGTAGAAGTCTTTCTGAAGACCCCAAAGAAAGCCACTGTTTGGGAGTTGGTGTAAGTGTGGTGTTAGAGTTACAAGACAGAGAGCTATTAAGGACAAGACATAATGCAAAGCCTCTGGCTTTTCATGGACCCCAAAGGATCTGGGAAGGGGTCCTGTGCCACATTCTACAGTTAATAGGAAGGATTTGTACCCCTGAGTGAAGTCAGATCAGAAATATCACAAGACGTTTTCTCTTCAAGATTCTTCCAGTCAGGTTTTTGTCTTTCACAAAATCTGGGGAGAGTGAACCATTTGAATAACCTAGCTAGGGAGACAATCTGTGCATCACTGCTTTGCCTTGAACATGCCTACAAGCATAAAAATATATTTCTGTGTTTACGAGTAACCATTTCACCACTGTACTGGATATCACGTATGTTTCTATTTTGAAATGCAACACTGACCAGCTTGGTATGGATAGCTCATGAATCCTGCAGTAAATCCATTTGTAAAAATACTTCAATACATTTTCCCTTTAGTTAAATTGTCTCTGTGGTTATTAAACATACATTTTACATTACAGAAATTTATTATAAGAATAAATTTTTACCTTAATAGTGAAAGTCCAGCTCCAATGTAATTTAAGATTGGTCTTGATACCTCTTCTGGGTCAATTCCGAACCAACCAAACCTGGAATATTTAACCAGTTTCACTTAGTTGCACTGACTGTATACAAATAGTTAAATTATAACCCAGTCTTGGAAATCTTTACTCACGTAAATAACTCTGCTTAGGTTTACATTTGCAGTATTGGATTGGTGCTTCAGTTGCCTTGCAAGGAGCTACATCTACTTTACAAAAATGATCTTTAAACTGATTTAATTTATATTGATTTTTTTTTAATCTAGGTATTTAAAAATTGAAGTTAATTTAAATTATTTTATCAGCCCATGCTGTAGAAGAAAAAATACAAACATCATACTGGTTTTACATTTACAAAGACATTATTTATTCACTCAATTATGTTAATGAACATTGCTGGGCATTCTTCTTCCTATTGAGACAGAGGAAACACAAAAAGATAAAATAATTAACCTGAGTACTTTCCACTGAGAGGGAAAAAGATCTTACATATATGATAAATCCTTTTTATTGGTGATAGTGTTTCCACTGCAGTTATTAATGAAGAACTGGCAACAGTAATTATGCATGACTTAAGACTTAAACGTACTCACCTTGAACTTGCCCAGCCTGTCAGCAAATTAAAAGAAGCCCATATCAAAAGACCAAGAGCTAAGCCAATAGTTTTAACAATAGGGACAACTGTAACATTGCCTAAAATACAAAACCCAAAATTAAAATCAGTTAAAAACTAGACTGTGATCTTATATATTTTTTTGCTTTAGATTCTGTAACTGTTCAGAAGGCAAAGAAATTTAGGCAACTACAAGGTGGTAGAAAACAGTGTTTTTTAAAAATAAATCCATTAAACACAAACAATTCCTCCATAGTATTTTTAAAGTAATTTTCGGTGTGAATTTGCTGCTTATAAAATAAGAATAATAAAATAACATTTGCTATAAGGGCACAGCTCTATTAGTATCGAGACTTTAAAAAGCTAAATAACTACTACCTTATATATGGAAAAGTTTTTATCACTTTTTTTTTTTTTTTTTTATGAACAGTTAGGATTACTTTGTGTTTCAAGAACTAGAATCTCTTTATCCTTACCTGTAGCCCACACGAAACCTCCAACCATAGCCAGAGGCCAAAACTGGCGACAATTCTGGATTAAATTGACCACCAAAGAAACTATCCATATGGAGGCACAGAGAATCCACTGGAAGAACATGCCTATGGAAAAATCAAATGCACACAACAGAGAACTTGTAGAATACTGCACGTGTGAATCCCTTAACATACTATGTTGTAGATAAAATAGTACAGAAAAAACTGAAAGGCAGCCACCCTCTTTGTGAGTTTCAGGGAACCATGTTAGAATACATTCAAAAGATGTATTTTAGGGTGGGGTGTTCCAATTCTGTCAACCTTTTCCTTCCTATGCATCCTTTATACACAGCTGCAAAAGACACTTTGCTGGACCAAGTTTACACAAGCTCTGATTCTCAAACAGATGAAAATTTTGACAGGCTTCTGACAAAGAGGATATTCAATTACTGCAAACCTCCCCAACCACCCAAGTAGCAGCTAACATAGATGACTGCACAGGACGAAACTCTTTCACAGCTCAGAGCTCAGGCTTTTCCACTAATGCAGGACATTGAGGATGATAAAAACTTTGGAGAGATCTGTTCTACCTTTGTAGATTCTCTAAGGGTCAGCTAAGCAGACCAGTTAACTTTATGCCAGCTGAGCTAAGAGTTTTGCTTTAAAATCTAGCCTTGTCTTGTTAGGGCCATATTTGGCACACAGAAGAAAGAGGTTATATCCAGCTTGTAATGCAGATACTATTATTGCAGTAACATAACAGCAGATTTATTCACCTAGGGATCTGGGAATTGACTAAACATGCAAATACAACATGAACGTAGTACAATAAAGTGATAAAATTCCAAGTAGGAAATAGAAGCAATAGTTTCCTTTTACTGAGTCATCAGATAAAGGTATTAAAATTTCAATTTTTGATTTCTTTTATGTTAGATCCACAATTGAAAGTCAAAATGCTGAAGTCCAACAACTTTTACAGTATAAATAACACTGTATGTATTTGAGAATCCCCACAAGGGTAGAAGAAAGGACATTTCACTTTCCATTGTGAAATGCTCACAAAATGCACATCATCACTGTTAAAGTGCACAACAACAGGTAAAAAGGCTCTTCTAAAGATCTGACACATTCTGAACCAACATATTATTGCTTTATACCCTAACAATAGCAAAGAAAATTAAAACATGCTCTATGGATTAAGGCTGTGATGATATTTATCTCTCTAGCTATAGAAACTCTCATATTTGCTGCTAGGATATTATTGCTATTAGCAAAAATACCAAAACCAACAAAAGAATATAAGTTTACCGTCACCAGTATCAAATTTCTTAACAGGCACAAAGTTTGTCCCAAAGAGAAGGACAGCTACTGTGGAAGAGGTAAAGCCAATAGCTAGATCTGTTCCATTGCTGATGTTAAAGGTACTGTAAGTTTTCCTGGTGTTCATCTTTGTTCTGAAGGTGCGTCTTTTTGAGGGGTTGTTTTGCTGCAGGTCCTGACAGATTCTGAAAACAGAAAGTGGAATTAAACACATGGAATATTAAATAATACCAATCTAGTTCAGAAATCTGAAACTTAAAGGCCCTACTTATCAATCTCAAAAGCTGGAAAGAACTGCAGAGTATACTGCAGAATCCCATGAAAAGCTGTCATAAAATGTGAATGAAGTAACTTGAGAACAAATGGACAAAAAGTCACTATTGTCCGTTTCATAATCAGCTTCACAGAAAAGCATGTCTGAAAACATGTAATGTGAATGTAGAAACCCACTCAAAGATTGAGAGGTCTTGAATCTGTGAGGCCTACGGGAAGCCCTGATGCTTAGGGAGATGCTCTATCACAATATTCCTTATTCCTGTAGCTAAAGTGGGGTCATGCTGGGGTGTGTAAAAAAGCAGGGATTAGATGAAATCTTAACTGGCAGAAGCAGCTATGGCAATTTGCAGCCCCACTGCCTGGAGCAGGCAGAGATTCTATAGATGCCACAGTTAGGATCAACATAGGATCATGAGGTAACCACAAGGACTGCTCTAGCTGATATAAAACACAAATAAAGGCTAATTTTTTCTTTGGGAAACAAAAGGAGAAACTGCCTCCAATCTTTCGTCATTCATTCCACGTAGCTATAATAAGAAAGGTTAAGATTTTTTTTTAATCCTCCCCCCCCCTTTTTTTTTTAGTGGGAGATTCATCTTGAAGTTACACTCACATGTGTACTTTTGATATTGATTATGACTTTGAGAGAAAAGGTGGCTCTGAGGACAACTACAATAACATGGTCTTTGCATACAGGATCTTAACATGACACTTAAAAGACTACATATAAGAAAAGTGTTTGGAAATTTAACTTCAAATGGCAACAGGATACTTAATATGCTGTGAATATAAAGGGCCTTATTTATCGAGATACACATGCAATCCTGTTGTTGATGACATCCCAATGCAGTTTGACATTGTCCAGTGTAGGTGGACTAGCTACTGCCTGGAGGAAAAAAGCTGAAATAGGATGGTGGAAATTTTGCCAAGTCTTGTAAGTGGTGCTGTGGCTACAGTCTCCACACAAAAGGAAGAGCTGGGCTGCTGCACATTCTTTCATTTTATTTTACCCTCCAGTCTTACTTTCTCTGGAGTCCTTAGGACACTGAGAGCTTGCATCTGCTGAGGTTGTGCTTTTATCTACAGTTTCAGCAGAGCCATCAGTGTCAGCTGAAATTAATTATTTGCATTAGCAGGTGAAAAGTTCAATCCCACAACTAATACTGTTTCTGTAATTTTTCTCCTCAAAAGATGTCAGTATATTTTTAACTTGAGTACTCAGGAAAAACACAGAAGGCATTTAGAAGACACATCATGGAGGTACAATGACACAGGTATTGCCATTTATCTTATTAACTTTTTCTCCTTTTCTCTTCATCTTTCTTGCCTACTTAGAGGATAAGCACTTCCAGGAAGTTTTTGCTGTATTTAAGGCTCTTTCTATAAAGTATGTTTTACCTGGGACCTGTAGACACTGAGCAGTGCAAATAATAATGTTGGGATTTCTTCAGTGATTGGCTTCACAGGCTAAGAAACACTGTGGCACCACATGAGTGGATTAAGATAGACAAAGGCTTACATCAGTTATCTTCATTCCATCAAACCTGACTCACTGAGTGAATAAATTTAACTCATTTAGGGAACAAGCAAGGCACAAGAGCTTGCTTTTGCACAGGAAGAACTTTGTGCTGTTAAGGACATAGATATAAAGCTGATTACACTGCACATCTATGAATGCAGGGGTCGGTACTTTAGCCTTTAAATAAGTAAGTCATTATGCAGGTGAAATACCAAGAACCTTTCAAATGTAAAGTGGTTTATCAGCCTTTTTGATTTTGTTAATGTACAGAGAAATGTTATTTTGAAAATATTTCAGTACCTACTAAGACAAAAACCTGTGTGCTGCAGGGCAATACACTTTTCTGCTTGCTTTTTGTCTTTCAAAAATCTCTATATTGTGCACATTGAAGACTGTTGCACAGCTGGAGAACCAGAATCGTAACAACAAAAATGGAAAGGAAACACAACTTCCAATCAACCAGGGAAGAGTATGCTTCATTCAGACTGTTTAAAACTCTGTCACTTTCCAAGGTTTGGGGCACTTTGTCTCCAAATCTGGCTAAATCTCAGACCCAACTTTCAACTCCATTTTAATGCCTTCAAGAGAAAGCTCAATCAGACAAGGTCTGGGGCTAACTGCTCTAAGTTCGATGATGCACTGCTTTAAGCAGGGAGTTGACCTAGATGACGTCCAGAGGTCCCTTCCAAGCTGAATTATTCCATGATTGTATGATCCAGTGCCAAGAGCAAATAATGAACTGGCATACAGCATTAATTTGACTATACTTCTTCTGGCACATGCTTTGCACTTCAGAGAGTTCACTAAAAGCCTCTTCTCTTCTCTACAAACCTAGGTATTGCCAGACTGACTTGCAGCACACATGCCTCCAAAGGTTTATAGCTTCCAAATGCCAAACCAGAAGCACTTGCTGCAGCTGCCGAGATGTTAGAACGCAGTGGTTGCAACCAAAACCGAAGCAGAGACAACTGAAATTGTTTCTATTATTGAAGGGTTTTTTTTCACCAAGTAGCCCTTACTGAAGGGCACATCGGGGTTCCCAAGCTGCAGAGGAATTACAATGGAATTCTGTTGGCACAAGCTGCCCTTATCCTACTAACTTTACTGGCTTGCCTCACTGGAAGGTTGTGCTCTGTATTTTCAGTTTCCTCAGAAATAGGCCGCCATTTCCTTTCTTTACACAGAGACACAACAAATTATGACGCTCACTTAACGCAACAGCAACACATTGCCACCATCTCTGCAGGCAGGCATGAAATCGGGAAGCCTGCCCTTGAGAGTTGCCATCTCAAGGTGGATCCACGCTGTTGTCAAGATCAGAAGGAAACTGCCTGTGCTAATTGACCAGGTATTTTTAGAGGCTGCATGTCACACTGACTGTTTATTCGCCCATTTCTCCTACCAGCTATTCGCCATTAAGGGTGGATACTTTCATCCTTGTTTTAGGAGACTCCTGTCACTCCCAAGGCGGCTCAGAACGATGTCCTCGGGTGACACCGCGACCCCCGACCAGCTGCCCGAGAAACGCTTCTCTGCTTCCCTAGGAGGAACGCTTCGGAAAGACGTTCTGCAGGCAGCATTCGCAGCAGGCGGGATCACGCGGCAAGGGAAAACGCGGGGCTGGGCCCTCCACAAAGGCGGATGTTGCTTCTCCTACTGAGGCCAACGCGGCCGGGCTTCCGCGGGGCCGGCCCGCGCTGCAGGCGGGACACGGCCCGCAGA